TTTTGTACTGGGGATCAAACTCAGAACCTTGTGGTTGCAAGGCAGGTGAGGTGCCACTGAGCTAAATCCCTGGCCCTCTTTTATTTTTAAATTGGATTTTTAAATCTCGCTTTTCTCTCCTCTTTCTTTACAAATTTTACTTCTTTCATTTTCCCCCTCCCTCACCTTCATTTTAATTATTATTATTAAGCTTTTATTACTCTTTAGCTATTTAGTTGACTCAATGTTGCTGTTGCTGAATTCTATTGTTAATGGTGATATAGTTGTTACTTCTAGTAGATATTCACTGTATGTCAATATTTGGTTTTATTTGCACCTATATTATTGTAGATCTCTTTTTTATTGTTAAGAATGGGATAGTTGTAGTTATTATTGTTTCTTATGGAATGCCAATAATCAGTCAGTCCTTGGTTCTATTATCATTGCTGATTTCTTTTCTATATTTAATGGTGGCATAGTTGTTGCTTTTAATGACATTTTACTATTTGCCATTATCTAGTCTTTGTATCATTAACAGTATTGGGGTTTGTTTTCTTCTCTCTGTGTGGGGCTGAAATCAAGCCCCTAGAAGGTTGGACACTAAGAAGACCTCCAAATATTATGCTAAGAAGACTTTCAAATATTTGGGGTACCAACACCAAATGCAAGGACACATCAGAGGACATCAAACTGAACTAATGAGATCTCCACGGTAGGGCCAGAGTTTCTCTACCCCAACTGATCTTCAACTAACAGTCCAAAAACAATAGAAACACAAGAAAACAAGGCAGGAAGATGTCCCCCCAAATCCCTTACTTCCCAAAAGCTGATTTTATGGACACTGAAGTAGGAGAAATCAAGGCAAAGAACTGAAAGACCAAATGGTTAAAATATTTGAAGAAGGGCCAGGGATTTAGCTCAGTGGTGCTGCACCTGCCTTGAAAGTGCAAGGTCCTGAGTTTGATCCCCAGTACTAGAAGAAAAAAAAAATTTTGAAGAGATAAAAGAAGAAGCATATAAGCAAATGCATAAGATGTTCCATAAGTTCAAAGAGGATTTAAACAGGTCAAGGATTTTACCAATAAAGTGTTAAATGAGGTTAAAGAAGAAACAAACAATAGGGCTGGGGATTCAGCTCAGGGGTGCTGCAGCCAACTCGAAAGTACAAGGTCCTGAGTTCAATCCCTGGTACTGGAAAAAAAAAAGAAGAAGAAAAAGAAGAAGAAACAAACAACAAACCAACTGAATTAAGCAAGACAATGTAAAATATGAATGGCTACTTGGGAAGAGTTAGAAAGTATGCAAAGAAAGTAAGCAGAGGTCGATGATATGAAAAATTCAGTGGAAAGCATGAGTAGCAGACTTGACCAATGTGAGGACAGTGTCAGAAACAGGAGATAAAGTGGATGTAGTAGATCATAAATCCAGTGGTACCCTAAAAATCACAAGACACCAGGCAGGTTGGATCCAAAGGAAAAAAACCAACCTCAGAACTGTAGAAATAAAGAAAAAATTAGAAGATGACTGAAAGGATATAAAAAATTAATTCAGTAAAATCATAGCTGAAAAATTTTCAAATGTAGGGAAAGGAGTCACTATTCAAGTAGGAGAGGCATATAAAACCCCAAATAGACATAACCAGAAAACAGCCTCTTTGCAACACATAATCAAAATTCCAGAAATTCAACAAAAGGAGTGAATGTAAAAGCTGTTAGAGAAAAACAGCAAGTATCTTATAAGGGGAAGCCCATCAGAGTAACTGAATTTCTCAGCCCAAACCTTAAAGGCCAAGAAAGCCTGGAGCAAAGTTTTCAAGCCCTAAAAGATAACAGTTGTTGCTAGGTGTGGTTGTGCACATCTGTAATCCTAGCACTCGGTAGGCTGAGGCAGAAGGATCACTGTGAGTTCAAGGCCTGCCTAGACTACATAGTAAAACCCTGTCTAAAAAAAAAAAGAGTTAAAATGTGTTATGTACATATGTAGGAACTCAGCACAAAAGATTATGTACTACAAACATGTACTAATAAAAAAAATTGACAGAACTAAAGATTTTCCATGACAAACCCTAAATAATTACATGACCACTAAACCAGCATTGCAGAAAATGCTTAAAGGGATCCTAGACAGAAACAGGGACGCCACCAGCACCAAAGCACCCAAAGGAAAATACACATTTGACAGGGAGAGGAGTTAGACAAAAGGAAAAATAAAGGAATCAGCACTGGAAAAATAATGCAATGGTAGGATTCAATAACCACTTACAATAATACTGCTCCATGTCAGTGGCCTCAACTTCCTAATCAAAAGACACAAAATGGCAGATTGGCTAAAAGTGCAATAAAAAATTGCCTACAGGGACCAGGGATTTAGCTCAGAGGCTCTGGTGCCTGCCTCACAAGGGTAAGGTCCCAAGTTCGAACCCCAGTGCCCAAAACAAAACAAAACAACAACAACAAAATTGCCCACAGTAGGCCATCCAAAAGGAAAGGCATAGTCTGAAATTGAAAGATGGAAAATGATTCTCCCATCCAACTGCAGGATTAGATATTTTATTTTCAGACACAGCAGTCTTTAAGCCAAAACTAATCAGAGTAGACAAAGATGGCTATTTCATACTGGTCAAAGGAACAATTCAATAGAACTGTAAATAATTATGGACCAAATGTCAGTGAACTCAGTTTCTTTTATTTTTTGAGACAAGATCTTGCTGTGTAAGTCAGGCTGGCCTTGAACTCACTATGGAGCCCAGGCTGGCCTCAAATTTACGTGTGATCCTCCTGCCTCAGCCTCCTGAGTATATGGGCCACCATACCCAGCCTAGCCACCACACCCAGCCCAGTGCATCCAATTTTTAAAAACAAAAATTACTGGATTTAAAAGGACACCAAAGCAATCATAGGGGGGAGTTCAATACCCCACTCTCAAAATTAGGTTACCCAGGGGCTGGGGATTTAGCTCAGTGGTTCTGCCGTCTGCCTCACAAGTGGAAGGACCCAAGTTCAATACCCAGTACCAAAAAAAAAAAAATTGTGTTACCCAGACAAAAAAATCCACAAAGAAACATCAGAGTTAAACCACACCATTGAACAAATGGACTTGAGAAATATCTGTAGAGTGTTTTATCTAACAACAGCAGAATACACATATTTCTCAATAGCACATGGAACTTTTTCCAAAATAGACCATATCTAAAGCATGCTTAAGTAAAGACTAAAGAATTGAAATAATCCACTGCATACTATTGGATCATAGTGGAATGAAGTTGGAAATCAACAGTAAAAGAAGCCACAGAAATTATGCAAACAGCGTTTAGGCAATATGTTATCGAATAATCAATGGATCACAGAAGAAATCAGGGAGAACTAAAATAGTTCCAAGAATCAAATGACAGTGGAAGCATAACGTACCAAAACCTTTGGGACATAATGAAAGCATTTCAAGAGGGGAGATTAGAGCCATAAATGCACCCATAAAAAGAACAGAGTGACCCCCCAAATCAATAACCTAATGGTGTATCTCAATAACACCAGAAGACAAGAACAATCCAAATCTGAAACAAATAGGAAAGAAATAATAAAGATCAGAGCAAAGTTAATGAAATTGAAATTAAAAAAACAATACGGATAAATTTTTTTTTTTGGTACCAGGGATTGAACTTGGGACTTTACGCTTGTGAGGCAGGTGGCAGAACCACTGAGCTAAATCCCCAGCCCTAAAAGAACAATACAAAGGATCAGTGAACCACAGGACTGGTTCTTTGAAAGGATGGGAAAGCGGACTTGGGGAGAGGGGAGCTGGGAGGAAGGGCAGGGGAAATAAAAGGATCAAGATGTGATGTGAATGTACTGGTGTCCCCACAATGAATGTGTTCACTAGGTATCACGGTGATACATTAATAAAAAATTGGAAAGAGGATCCACACCCATGGCTACCAAGTAGAGTGCCTCTGCCTAAAGCCCTTGGCCCTAAATCAGTCTGTTCTGCCACCACCCTAACCCTGCGGCTTGGGACTGTCCCAGCTCAGCCCGAAGTGTGGTTCTTCATGTCCCACACTCAGATGAACCAATAAGCCAGTGCCCATTACTCCATCATCGCTAACTCTAACCACAGTACTTCAGTATGTGATTTCTTGCAGTGGAGACTGGCTCTCGTCACCAACTCCGTGTCCTTTCTCTCTCATGCACATGACGCACATGTCCTAGTGTCCCTTGTGCCCATGATGAGTTGTAGCTGAGTTGTGATGACACCATTTCCGTCCTGGCCTACAAACCCCCATGTATGCTCCTCTCTCCTGTTCCCCAGACCGGATGCCAATGCCCGGGGGAGCTTGGAAGCCAGCACTGAAGGTGACAGGACCCTTGCTACCGCCACCAACATGGGTCCCTAATGGGCCCCACTCAGGAGCATCTGCAGTGGGCTCCCATAAGGGAGAAACAAACTTTTGTTACAGCAGCTACTGCCACCCCGATCCATCCTCACTTTGCAAAGGGGATTAAAGATCTTGCCCGAGAGTTACAAGCTGTCTGTTCAATAACCCCTCGCTAGATAGTAAACATCCTTAGGAAGCTGCTCAATGATTTCTGCTGTGGTTCTAAATGGCCCAGCCCCCTAGCAGGTGGGGGTGCATCTGTGGTCTGCCATAGGCCACAGTGCCACACTGGGCCCAATGCCTGATGTCTTGCTTTCTGCTCCGATTCCCCCTCTTCTTGTCAATCCAAGTGCAGACAAACAGTCCCACGCTCCGAGGCCAGAGTGTGGTGACTGTTTTTAGCATTCTGTTGCTGATGGCAATCTCTGACTGTGGCTCTGTTTCCGGGCCTGTGGGTCCAGGATTTCCAGGCTGAGCACCCGTGTGCTTATGGGGTGAGGCACTTGGAGCATTGATGCACCCCCTGCGGATAAGCCTTGGCATGCACACGTCAGCACCTGCTGGATCACGAGGCAGGTGGAGGCACCACTGAGCCAAATCCCGGGCCCCAGGGCATCTTTAAAAAGGGCTGAGTAGCGGTGGCACTGCGCGTGCTTTGTAAGCGCAAGGTCCTGAGTTCGATCCCTGGTACCAAAAAAAAAAGGGCTGAGTGGGCAGGGAGGTTAAATATGTAAAAGCAATTCCAGCCAGGTGTAGTGGTGCCTGGCTGTAATCTCAGCAGTTGGGAGGCTGAGGCAGGAGGATTGCCATGAGTTCAAGGCCAGCCTGGGCTACATAGGTTAGCCTGAACTTACATAGCTGTCTCAAAAGAAAAAAAAAAAGGGCTGGGGATTTAGCTGAGTGGTTTCGCCACCTGCTCCGCAAGCGCAAGGACTGGAGTTCAATCCCCGGTACCAAAAAAATAAAATAAAATAATAAATTCCAGAAGATGAGCTCCAAGCACTGGAGTGGGTTATAGAAGCAAGCTTGGAAACATTCTGTATTTTAAAATTTACTTAAAATCATAATAGTACAACATGTTTGTTGCAATTCATTCAAACAATTTAGAACGCTCAGGAAAAATATTAAAGTTCTGTCATCATCCAAAGTCTATGCTCAGATTTACCGTGGTCAGTAGCTTATGTGCATCTTAAGAGTCATTAAAAATAACCCGAGGTCTGCAGCTCCATGCAGAGCCCATCAGTGGATGTGGCAGCAGCTAATTATAACCAATGTTACTCAGGCCTTTCTGGGGGCCAGGTACTGACCTCAGCACTTTCTTCGTTTTCTCATTGAGTCCTCTCACAATGCCTTGGCTCAGTAGCAAGGACAATTCCCTGGCAAGGAAAATGAGGGGGAGAAGGCTTGAAGCGAGTGTCCCAGCCCACATACACAGTGCATGGCAGACCCCGACTGGAACTCCAGGACTTCGGCTGCAGGGTTCACACAGCGATGACTCAGCTGTGCCACCTTTTAATCAGCGAGTGACAAGGGTTGTACAATGGGGAATTGGAAACCGTGGCATCCAAGTATTGACCCCTCCACTTTCCTTCCTTCTCCAAACCTCTGTGATTTCACCTGTGAAGTACGGCCAGCGGGACAGATGTTGCTGGGGATTGGTATTAATGAATTGATGATTCTAAAGGGCTGTGTAAATAACCCCATTTATCTAAAGAATCAGCTTGCTTTCATTTGTACTCCATGCTGGTGGAGAATAAATTGTTCCTAAGATTACTTTCCTACTTGTATCAGGGATAATTTAATTTCCTGTATGTTAAAGGCTGTTAATCTTTGATTTTCACTTCTCACAGCAGATAAAATGGCTCTCTGGTGCCATTCTAAACACCCTGGGAATCTCTATAACCTGCTTTGCAATGATTACTCTAAAATTTTCTGCTCAACTCTTTTTTTTAAGAGAAAAGCGTTTTGCGTTTACACTTGTATAGCTCAGCAATATTTTTACTGTAATCTAATCTATCGACAATTTTGTCCTTCTACCACTATGGGGCGCTGTTTCATTAGACTATATGCACATATACCTATATACGTATGTGCATATATACTTTTTAAAGTGCCTGTGTTAAAGTCCCTTTCATGCAAATATCTCAGTAGTGAAAACTTGACCTTTCACATACCTTCACTAAAATACATCCAATTACTTGAGACAAAAGAGAAACACACTGATTAATTCAGAAAAGAAAAAATCCTTTAAGTCTTGAGGTAGATGAGAAGAAAATTCAGTTACGTAAATTGCCATTTATCGTTTGAAAATAGAAACTTTAATATTGCTGTTTAATATTTTTGTATTGATGTTATTTGATGAAATTAAGTTTTCATCTTCTTGTAGGATTATTACCAGCCATGATGGTTATTTCATTGAATGGATGTATGATGAGGAGTTTTTCTGTTTATTTTGGTACTGCATCTGTTTGCATTTGGGAACCGAATCCCTTTTTATTGTATTTATTTATTTATTTATTTTGGTACCGGGGATCGAACTCGGGTCTCTGCGCTTGCACAGCAGGCGGCAAAACCACTGAGCTAAATCCCCGGCCCCTCGAATCCGTTTTTATATCCATATTGATAGACTAAGAGTCCTGAAGCCATGCAATTACAATAGAAAGGTTATGAAGAAATGGAAAAGAGAATAGGGAGTACTTAGCAGTAGTCCTAAACTTCCAGGTTTTGGATAAATATAAACAAGGTATTAGGATTTTCAGTTTATCTTTTATTTAGTTAATATAAATGAAAGGCATATTAAACTATGCCTGAGAGTTTAGGCATAGGAAGGAAGAAGAAATGAAGGCTAAACTTTGAAATGTTGCTTTACTTTCTGTACATTAAGCCAGAACAAATACGGTATATTTGCTTGAATTTGGTTTTACGTGTGTGCGTGTGTGTGCGTGTGCATGTGTGTGTGTGTGTGTGTGTGTGTGTGCTCGTGTGGTACTGGGATGTGAACCCAGGGAATGCTGAGCTACCTCCCCAGCCCTTCGGCGTGGGCTGCTGGGAACCTACAGTCTCTCATTTCCAGGGGAAAAACGCATTCTAACTTCTAAATAGCCAGCAAATGAACTTGAAGGCTGTAACCTGCTCATACGCTGGTGACTCCTAGAATAATGCTTTTTAGTCTCCCTAACAAATAATGGAACGAGCACACCTTGGGTTGCAGACATTCATTCCCATGGGTGCTGGGCAGGGAGGGCCATTCCGTTTCCCAGCCCTTGAAGCAGGGGCTGCGGACCTGCTTCCTCTCCACCAGCCGCCGAGCCTGCCTCCTCACTCTAGCTGGGGGATGTTAAGTCAGAAGCCTATATTGCGGCCCCTGTTGGTCTGGGAGAGGCACCATGAAGGGACTGCCTTGCTGGCAGCTGTGTGGATTTGGGGCTTGCAGGAGGCTCTTGAACTTCTAATTCAGCTTGAGTCGTGGAAGTCAGAGGAGGCGGAGGGTTTGGGGTGGGTGGCAGGGAGTGTTATCCCCAGTGGGGCTGGGGTCTCTTTGGAGGTCAGTGGAAAATGTTCTTAAGGTTTTCCCCTCCTATGTCAATCCCTGTTTTTTTGTTATTGTTTATTTCTTTATTTTTTTGAGACAGGGTCTTACTACGTTGTTCAGGCTGACCGTGAACTCTATGTAGCCCAGGCTGTTCAACTCGCAGTGATCCTCCTCCCTCAGCCTCCGCAGTGCTGAGATTATAGGCGTGTGCACCACCATGCCCACTCTAATCACCGTTTAGTGAGATCTACTTTGTTGAGGGCACTAGGCTGGGACTCACGCAAAAAGTAAGATGGCTGCACGGTTAGAGCATTCCCCTAGTGTGCGTGAGACCCTGGGTTCATTGCCTAGCACTGTAAAACCAAACCAAACCAAACAGGCCAAAACAAGCCCCAGAGAAAACTGTGAACAGTGCCTGCATCATGGAGCCTTCCACTTGCCAGACTGTGGGCCCTGAGAGGAGACATTCACAGCAACTTGGGGCTCTGTGGAATGGGTGCAGGGTCCCGGGCAGCGGCCAGCAGTGCGTTCCCGGAGCGGAAGGCAGACTCCCAGCCTGCGCCTCTACCAGCCGGGAAGAAGCAGCCCTTGCTGGGTGCAGCAGAGGTGAATCTCAGCAGAACAGGTGACGCCAGCAGACTATGGCAACGGGAAGACGGAAGGAAGGTGGCCTTGGTGTGACAGAGAGTGGCCCTAGCGTCAAAAGCAGGAATGTGGGGGCCGTGAAGCTGATTCTGGGGTTTGCCCTGCAGGTTGTGGGGAGCCCTGAGGAGCTTCTGAGCCGAAGTGTGGTATGATCCGAGCAATGTATTAGCTGATGACTGTGGAGCGGCCATGCAGAGGATCCCCCGCTCTCCTGACTGCTTCCTTCGTCTGCTGTCCCTGTAGTCAGGAACTCCTTTCACATGCCCCTTTTACGCACTCCCAGGGACCTCTGCCCTCTGCAGTGAGCATAGCTTTTCATCGGCCCACCCTAACATCTGTGAGTTTGTGTGTATATGAAGTGATTAAATTTTTGTTGTTGTTGTTGTTACTGGGGATCAAACTCGGGACCTTGCACTTGTGAGGCAGGTGCTGTGCCACTGAGCTAAATCCCCAGCCTGTGATTAACATTTTAAAAGGATACTGGCCTGCCAGGGATTTAGCTCAGTGGTTCTGGTGCCTGCCTTGCAAGTGCAAGGTCCTGAGTTCAATCCCTGGTATCAAAAAAAAAAAAAAGGATTCTGGCCAGGCCTGGTGGCACACACCTACAGTCCCAGCTATTTGGGAGGCTGAGGCAGGAAGATCATGAATTCGAGCCCAGCCCAGGCAACTTTTCGAGGCCCTGTCTTGAGATAAACTATAAAGGGCTGGAGCTGGAGCTCACTGGTACAACACTTGCCTAGCATTCTTAAGGCCCTGGGCTTAATTTCCAGTACCACAAAGATAAGGAAATAAGTGAATGAAATGCGGACACTGACGTTATTATGTTTTTGCCGACTGTGCATTAACGATCGCAATGCCTTCCTTCACCAGAATGAAGGGAAGCAGAGAAATGGCACCCAAAACCCTTGGGATTGTTGCTAACTGCAAAGACAAAATCACCATGTGAAGCGGACTTAGGTCTGACCCGGGCTGTGCGGTTAACAGGGCTCCTAGGGAATAATCCTGAGTCCTCATACTTTTTATTCCTTTGCCCTCTTCAGTTTTCCCTGTTGAGCACTGAGTCCCTTTCTCTGCCCTTTTTGTGCCCTCTCTCCTGTGCCCCGCACTCATCTGCCCCTATCGGGGTCCAGAGGAATCAGCCCGGCAAGGCTGGGGACAGCTAGGATGTTGGAAAACATCCGCACGCCTCTTTTGCAGGTAGCATCTACGTTGCCGGTTTCAGCAGCCTCATTTAAAAAACTATTTATATGCACAAAAAGACCATAATAGCGTTTTTATTGTGTGTGCCTGTGATTTGGGTGAAGTTTCCCCCATGCCTATTTCTTATTATCATCCAACACCAACAAAGCCTTAAATGATAATGGAAACAGAAGCACTCTTTTCAGAGCCCTGGCCCGCTGCCTGTCCTCTCTCGGATCCATGCTCCCGGCCTTGAGGGGATGCAGAGGGCAGAACTGCTGCCTCGGAACCAGAACCGAGTTCCCCTCCTGACGGCATTGACTCAGCCTTTTATCCTTTTGCAGGGAATAACTTGAATGCCAGGCTATTTAGTGTATGGGTGTCTTTCAGTGACACCTGACACCTGACAGCCCCTGGATGCTGGAGTTCTGTTCTTGCTGTCCTTGCCCTGGGTTCCAGAGCCTGGCCTGGCCCCAGATGTGGCGCACTTGGTTTTGAAGAGATGTTTACTAGCCTTTATTTCCTCAGCTCCTGCTGTTCTTCTGCTTCCACAAGTTGACCTGCTGGTTTCACCCCTCAGTTTTCTAATGCATTTAAAAACCAAGCAACAAAACAGTTTCCCTCAGAGTCAAAGCACTGCAAATACAAGCTCGGTTTCTGGGTTCCATTATTATGAGTAACACAATTATGGGGTGTGCTTTAGAGATACTCTGAACAGTGGCTCCCCCCCCCTCCCGCTGGGCCTTGGGCTGAGCCTGGCACCCTAGGTCAGATGAGAAAGGGTGGATTTTTATGGACTCCATCCTATTGCTGCTGTTTTTCCTCCACCCTCCTCAAGGCTAGATGTTGGATCTGTAATTATGGATGCAATAATAATACCTTGCATTTGTTGTTTTATGTTTTTTCAAAAATGTTTTCCATCTTGAGAATGATTCCCCCTAAAATGCCTTTGGCATAGGCAGTGCCACTAGGCTGGCTGCCTGATCTTCAGATATGGCAACAGGAGACCCAGGGTTCAATGTCTCCACTCCTTCACTCATGCAGTGGCCTTGGCCACATGCTTGACTCCCTTTCTTCCCTTCTTATCCCATATCCGAGCCATTGGCAAACCTTACTGGTCCTGCTTTCTAAATAGATTCAGTTTTTGTTTTTTTTTTGGTACTGGGGATCGAACTTGGGCCCTTGCGCTTGCGCAGCAGGCAGCGAAACCACTGAGCTAAATCCCCGGCCCTTAAATAGATCCAAATAAACCGCCTCTAGTGCCGTTGTCCTGGTCTAAGCCCGTGGCACCCCTCGCCTGGATTGAAGCTGTGGTCTCTGACTCAGACCCATCCTTGCTGGAGTTGAGTCTCTGTGATCTCAGCCTCCCGTGGCCTGGTGTAGCCTTGGAGGTAGAGGGTATGGAGCTGAGCATTTCTGACC